TATAAAGGAAAAGAGTAATGGCCAATAGAGCAGACCCTAAATTAACATTAAATGTCTTCACTAGGGATACAAGGAGGACTGGAGTGTGTAGGACTTCAGCCCCCAATGCTGCTTTCTCTAGACTACTTCTGCTGTTTCCTGGGTAAGATTTAGTTTGAAAAATGGGGCCTGATGCTCTAAAATGTGTTTGACAACTATGGTTTTTATTAGAGAACCATTGGAATAAAAACAGAACCACTCCTGTCCTTAGAACTAGAGCTATATATTAAAGGGGAAAAAACCGGTTCACATAACCGGTTCTAATGCCAACAGTGAAGTTAAAGAGCAGACAGATGATTCAAGAATTAGTTATGTCGATTCTCCTCTCCGTCGTTTTCTGACTGTAGCTTTGGTCAAAATACTTTTAGTCTCTGATCCTCAAGTACCTCATCTGCAAAATATAATAGAATGAGATGTTATTAAAGACTCTTTTGGTTTGGCCAATCTATTTCATCATCTTGAAACAATAATTTTAACTTCTAATAAAAGTTGAACCTCTATGTGGTCTGCTGTATTCATAAACTGAAATCATATGACTTCAGCACATGACACTGAGCTATAGCTGATGCCAACTTTCCTCCTTTGTATCCAGGCTATAGATGATGTCTTTATTTGTAAATGGTGGTTGTTGCTTTTTTTTTTTTTTTTTGTATTAGGACTAGAAAGCACATTCATTGAAAAGTCTCATGAGGCAGTGCTTTTCAAAGTAACTGAGTATATGGGGATTTTTCACCCAATGCATCACAGGTTATTAGCTTAATAAAATACAACATAACTACTAGGAGGTTCTGCAAGACTAAACATCTTGCAGATAACAAATGTAAGCCTAAAAATTTTTTAAACACCTACCTAAAGATTCTGAACAATAACCAAAGGTAGACAGAACTGGGGCATCGGGTGTGAGGGTAGGGGTGATCAATACTTGAAAAAAAAGAGCTTTGGCTAGATTCCCATTTTTATGGCTTCAGTATAAGGGCAGACCCCAAACAGTGCCACATGGGGCAACTAATAGTCAAAATTTGTCAGTTTTACTTCCTGAGAAACCAGAGAGCAGAGTTTAGAACAACCACAGCTACTGGAAATGGAGAGGAGGGGAAAATCCCAGAGAGACTCAGAAGGGGGAGGCCAATATTTTGTGTATTAACTCTGCCTAAATCTCTGTCTGGCTTTTGAACTACATATACATGGAGAAGACCCCTAGCAGCATATCCAGGGCTAAACAAAATGCATGGCAATTTCAGCTGCTTCCCATTGGCGAAACAGGTACAAGGTTTGAATCAAGGCAGGTGAACTGTTGGTGAATTTTTTTTAATCACTATTATCACAAAGAATACAACAGAATCCAGTGTCCCTGTGATATATTACTTATGATGTGCTTGATATGATATAAAGTTGTTGCATATACTAAGAAACAGGAAAACATGACTCATGCATAAGAAAAAAGGCAGTATGGAAACTGAGTCCAAAATAATCAAAATGCCGGGGCACCTCGGTGGCTCGGTCAGTTATGTGTCTGATTCTTGATATCAGCTCAGGTCTTGATTTCAGGGCTGTGAGTTCACATCCCACATTGGGCTCTGTGCTGGCACGGAGCGAAAACAAACAACCAAACAAAATAAGCAAAATGTTAAAGTAGTAGACAAGCATTTTAAAGCATATATTAAAAATGTGCTCCTGGATGTTAAAAAAAAATAATAATAATTTCCACAGTGAATGAGCAAATAGGAAAAGTATAAACTATAAAAGAGGATCAAATAGAAGTTTGATAATTGAAAAACAAGATGTGAGACATTTACCGGAAGGGCTAGCAATAGACTGAAGATGACCAAAGCAGGACTCAATGAATGTTCAGCTAGATCAGTCTGAAATCATCCAACTTGAAGAACAGGGAGAAAAACTAACTAGAGCTGCAATGATCTGTGGGACAAAATAAAAAATTCTAACATACACGTAATTAAATACATATTTCGAACACATATGCAATTGGAGTATATGCAATCAGGCAAAAGAATGAAATAGAAAAAAATACTTGAAAAAATAATGTCCAAAAGCTTCCAAAACATTATGAAACACATGTATTTACAGATTCAAGAAGCTCAGTGAAACCCAAGAATACAAATACATATATACCTAGACACATATAGGTGAACTATTAAAACTCAAAGATAAAGAGAAATTCCAAAAAGCAGCTAAGAAAAGAAAAAGGATGTAACATGCAAAATGATAATTGATTTCTCTTGAGAAATTATGGGGATCAAAAGCAGTAGAAACATGTCCTGAAGAGGATGAAAGATAACAACTCTCTCCTCATATTTCCATATCCAATAAAAAGATCCTCCAAGAATGACTTTATCTGAGGGAATAACATTCCATTGGTATAAAATATTCCATTTTAGTTTGTAAAAAAAATTTTTTTAAAGCTCTATGTGTCCTTATGGTTATGATGAGTATATAAAAATGTGAGTGACTACTTGTGGTAGACTAATAAATGGCTCCCATCTCAATCTTTGGAATTTGTAAACATTACCTTATTTGGAAAAAAAAAAAGTCCATGCAGATACGATTAAAGATATTGAGATGAGGAGAACATTTTGGACTTTGGTTCAGTGAAACTGGTGTTGAACTTCTGGCCGACAGAACTGTGTTGTTTTAAGCCAACAAGTTTGTAATAATTTGTGACAGCAACCACAGAACACTAATATGATAATATATTAACCTGTAATACTGATCATGTGGAGGGAATGTAGGAAGTAGAGATTACAAGTGGAGAGAAAGTTAGGAATATGAATATACATCACACTACACTTTATATAAATGAAAAGTAGATGGATGCAAAACAAGAATACACATTTTATAAAAATATATACAAACAAAAACATCTGTATTAAATATACAAGAATGGGATACCTGGCTCAGTCAGTAGAGAATGGGACTCTTAATTGCAGGGTTGTAAATTCAATCTCCATGTAGGGTGTAGAGATTCTTAAAAATAAAATCTTAAAGGATGAAATAATGATTGCTTGATGGGGGGGGGAGAGACAAAATGAATGGAGACAGAAATAAATGGCAACAGAAATGAAAAATTCAGCTGAAAGACTAGAAGATAAAGTTGGGGGAAACTCTTATCAGATGGACCAAGAACAGTACAAGATCAAAAATAGAAGAGAAAAAAAGTAATAATAAATAAGAGGGCCAGTCTAGATGAACAATATCTGCATAAAGAGCAATCCAGAGAGAAAGAACAAAAAAGGAAATGTAATCATCAAAGAAATAATGCAAAAAAAATTCTTCTTTACAGTTCGGCATTAGATTGGAGAAGGCATGTAGATTGGTGAAGCCAGCAAGGGTTAGATCATAAAGATTCTAGAAAGCTGCTTGAAGGAACCTTGCTAATGCTAATCCTTCTGTTTAGTATGGCTCTGAGGCTCTCCTTACCTACCCAGGAATTTTTGCATAAACTTCAAGACCCAAGGTAACCTCTCTCCCTCAGGAAGCCATCCTGGACTCATTGAGCCAAAGTAAATGTTCTGCCAATATGCTGCTATTACAGAATTCATTGCATCAAAATAAATTATTAATAGATGTCTATTTTACCTGCTACATGGAGGTATGCTACTTAATTCTGGTTGGGGCCTGCTCATCTTTAAATTCACCATGCCTGGAACAAGGTGGTAATTCCATAGTCTTTAAAATTTTATCTTGTCCTCAAATCAGGAATTTCCCATATAATTAGCTCTTCCCAAGTAGTATATAAGCTGAAGGTAAGTGAAGCCTCAGAGTGTGTGTGGGTGGAGTGTGGTGGGTGCGGGGAGTGTTGTGATGGTGACAGTAAGGTGGCAGCTTTTGTGGTCCAGTGCCGAGCACTTTACAGACCTTATCACCAGTGCTCACAGCCACCTCCAAGCCAGGCATCAGTACCCGAGTTGTGCAGACGGAGAAATTGACCTTGTCGCCCAAAGTCACCAACAGACAGTGACTGCCTTGTATTGGAACTCCAGCCCCATCTGCCCGGGCAGGTGTACTCCCAGCCATGCTTCCTGGGAGTCCTGTCCCCTTTACCGACGATTGAATTACCTTTAGCTTAGTTTGTTTCCGAGAGATTAGGAAAGGCTGGGGGCTGGGGCCTGAGGGTGGGGTTAGGGTTAGGGCTTCTTCTCTCTCTGCAAATGGTTTAAGTTCCCGGCCTGGGAGAGAGAGTTCTCTCAAGACTTTTCTCTGTAGCGCTGCTTTTATCAACACTGTGTGTTAGGAGTTGATGAGGACTAATTTGCTTTTTTTTCTCTTAATGTTTATTTATTTTTGAGAGAGAGAGAGGGAGCGCGCAGGGGAGGGCCAGAGAGAGGGAGAGACACAGAATCTGAAGCAGGCTCCAGACTCTGAGCTGTCAGCACAGAGCCCAACTTGGGGCTAGAACTCAGGAGCTGTGAGATCATGACCTGCGCCCAATTCATATTGACCCGAGTCCAAGTCGGACTGACCTGAGCCCATGTCCGACGCTTAACCGCTTAACCGACTGAGCCACCCAGGAGCCTCATGTGAACTAATTTTCTTCATTCATATTAGCTCCTTTCAGTTCAGGTACTGTAGCTCTTCTGTGCCTGTATAAGCTTCCTTCTTACTTCTAGTAGAAATACATTTTACTCATTTTAAACTAGGGGGTTCAGCTACCTGGAATGTAGATCAGCCTTTCCCCACCCCACCCCAAACAGAATGAAAAAGTACAGCCCATGCAAGGGCGCGAGTTACTCGGTAGCCTGTATCTTTAGGGAGAAAAAAAAAAAAAGCGCCGCCCCGCCCTCCGCCCCCGCCCCGCCCCCGCCCCGCCCCCGCGAGCCCCTAGGTGTCTCCCAGGCTGCGGGCAGCTCCCGGCCCGGCGCTGCCCGCTGAGAATCCAAGATGCGTGGGTCGGGCTGAACACGCGCCGCCGACTCGTCCGCTCGTGCGAGGTCAAGTCCGAGGCGCGGGCTGGGACCCAGGAGCCCCGGCGCGGGAGTGGGCGCACCGTGCACTGCGCCTCGCGCATGGACGGGCCGGGGGACCCCGAGGGCCCACGCCTCCCCGGAGGTGACCGAGAGCGGCGCGGACGGACACCCCTCGGTGGCGTGGATCCTGTCCCCTTTACCCTTTGAGTTACCTTTAGCTTGGTTTGTTTCGGAGAGATTCGGAAAGACTGGGGCCTGAGGGTGGGGTTCGGGTTAGAGCCTCTGGTCTCTGCAAGGGGTTAAAGTTCAGGGCCTGGGAGAGAGAGTTCTCTCAAGACTTTTCTCTTCTGTGGCGCTGTTTTTATAAATACCGTGTGTTTGGAAATGCATTCAGATTAGTATGCCATTGTTATTCCTCCCCTTTTAACTTTCTCTCACTTCCCTTCCTCATCTACTCCAGAAGTTTTACAAAGATTCTTGAGACTTCCTCATCTGGCACAGATTTCTTTTCTTTTTCTTTTTTCTTTTTTTTTTTTCCCCTGGACTGCAGTTCCAAACTTCTGAAAAGCAGGGCAAACCAAGTATAGTCTTCCTTAAATTCCTTTTTTCCCCCAAACCATTGTATTTAAAAATGACTGATAGAGTTACTGAATATTTGAAACTGAGTAAGTGACCTGTTGTCTTTAAGTTAAGTGATGATTTAGCTTTGGGAATAAGTATGAAAATAATCGGTGCAAAAGGCCAGTTATTAGTGTAAAATATGTATGGATTTACTGATCTGTGGGACTTGTCTTTCCAGGAGACAAGTTTGCCGATTGAATCTTTTAGCGTGTTTTCTCCCATGTATAATTCACTAGACTTCTGTACTGCTCCAGAATGCTTAATGAACAGCTAAGGTGACCTGCTTCGAACATTATCGAGCCCACATAGCGTATGAAGCTAGTGACTTGAGAACTTACATTATACTTCAGAGAGTAGCACCCTTTGGGGATCACCATGTTGTTTCATCCTTCTTGAAGGAATTTATTGAAGGTGGAAGAAATCAGGAAGGCAACACAGGTTTCAGATGGTTTGAGAAATTCTACCCTGAAAATGAGATGTTTTCAAAATGGCCGTGTTGTACAAGCTTTGTGTCACATTTTATCAAACGTGTTATATTCAAAATAGCCCTGAGCTCAGCATATGCTATCTTGAGATTGCACAGAGGTGACATTTGTGAACCTCGACCAGTATCGCAGTGACATGTCTGTAATTGTAGCATGTTTGCATTTAAGGTGGTGGCCCTCCAGGAGGTACAAGAGAGACATCTAGACAGCTTTCAAGAGAACAGCTTTTTGTGCTGATATCGGCAGCTTCCATTAACTTGGGTTCTATGATGTGCTATTCTATCCTTGGACCCTTTTTCCCCAAGGAGGTGAGATCTTTTTATATTTTTATGAACTCTAAGTTTTTAAAAAGCCCTTTGAATTATTTTATTTTACAGTATGTAAAATGCAAAACTCTGCAATTTAGTAAAGATGATGCATAGAACTCGAGTAAACAGAAAGACCCGACGGAATATTTGATACCAGATTTTTTAAAAATCCAATCAGAAAGAAATATCCTCTTGGGAAATAACTCACCTAAATATATCTGACCTTCTGAGGATTACTTTGCTTATCATGAAATATCATAAATCTTTGTTTGGTTTCTGCAACTGAAACAAAGTGGGTGCTTTGAGTAACTGAGATTTCAGTGTTACTGCAAAAGGTCTGAGCTGAGATAGGAAGTCTGTCTCCTGGAGTTTTTCGCTTATTAATATTTTCGGAATTAGGAAGACATGGTCCACTCAATATCCTTTTTCTGACTTGAATTTCTGACGGAATCTGGTAGCAGTGGTTTGTGCGAAGGAAGAATTCTGGTTAATACCAACTAGTTCTTCTTAATCATTGCCTTTTATGTGGTGGTCAAGTGTATAGCTCATGGCACAGACTCAAAGGGAATTAACCCTTAGAGAATACGCATGGAATCCGGAGGTGAGTGGGACACAGCATGAAAGAAATGGTACTGGCTTGATTGCATGGAGATGATATACCCATGTGTTTCATTTTTTATTTTTTAGAATGTTCGCTTATTTATTTATTTATTTACTTAGAGGGGACGGGGAGAGGTAGAGAGAGGGGGAGAGAGAGAATCCCAGGTAGGCTCCACGCTCAGCACAGAGCCCAACAAGGGGCTTGATCCCACAATTGTGAGATCATGACCTGAGCCAAAATCAAGAGTCAGACACTTAACTGACTGAGCCATCTAGGCGCCCCATCCTTCATTCTGTGTGTTACCAAGGAGAAATGGAAGAGGCTTCCCTGCTAAAGGAACAATGTGACTCTGTACTCAGTGCTTTTTTAGTTTTCAGTGTGGTTTCCCACACATACATCCCATTTGGTCTCTGCAGCTACTCCATAAGATAAGCAGAGTAATGAGAATGCTGTCATGGTGTCAGTGAAGACAGGATGCAGAAGTGCAGTGACTGACTCAGTTCGGTTCTGTTTGCTGAATGGGAGTGGGAGGCATAACAGTCTCCCACTCCGGAATGTGCAGGCACTGGATGGATTAGGACAGAAAAAAGATCGGGAAGATGTCCCTCTCTTGTCTATCTGTTGGGAGTGAGAACATATGAAAAAACATTGGTCTTGAGCAATGGAGCTCTCAAGGTGAACAAGAGAGGCAAGGATATTCTAGGAAAGAAATCACTTGAGATAGTCATGGGATTGACACAGTAAATAGCATGTTCTTGGGGAAAGCAGACAACTAGACATGGCTTGGGCCCAAGATGGAGTGCGGTCCAAGAGGCAGCAGGTGGAGGCAGTGGAGCCAGAATGCAAGGGTCCTTGATGCATGCCGGAGACATCCATGAGAAGTTATCAGAACAAGACAGACTAGTCTGACTAGTTTTGGGATTTGGAAAATATAATGATGGATGGAGCCTCCAGAATTAGGGCAGAGAGGAACTAGAGTAAGTAGAACAATGCCCAGTTAGCAGGGCATTTCCTGGCTAAAATCTGGGCAGCTGACTCAACCTTCAGCAGGGCGTTAAATGAGCAACTGATGTTAGCTTCTGCTTGGTGAAATGCACACAAAGGAAAACCAGACTACAGATGTGTGTCTTTTGATTTTTTAAAATAATTTTTCCAATCCCTTTTTTAAAAAACTGACAGAATGTTGATATACAATGTTAGTTTCACGTCTACGACATAGCGAATAAACAATTCTATATAGTATGCAGTTCTCATCGCGGTAAGTGTAGTTACCATCTGTCAACATACAAAGTTATTACAGTATTATCTTTTTTTAAGTTTATTCATTTATTTTGAGAGAGAGAATCCCAATCAGGCTCCACACTTTCAGCGCGGAGCCTGATGCACGGCTCGGACTCTGGAACTGTGAGATCATGACCTGAGCCAAAGTCGGATGCTTAACCAACTGAACCATCCAGGTGCCCCCAAAGTTATTATGGTATTATTGACTATATTCCCTATGCTATACTTTTAGGTTTTTTATTTAGTTTTTTGCTTACAGGAGGGAAGGCTGAAGGAAAGAAGACAGAGGCAGGGAGAGAGCACTGTAACTCGAAAAGGTCTAGATACAAAGAATGGGCTCTTCCTTTTCGTTTATTAGAATCTTGTGGTTGAAAAATGCACTGGGAAAACTCACCCTTCCTCCTGCATGCACAGTTATCCTTCCTTTTAGCCAGAGCTAATTAGGCAGAGGAAAAACAGGGGCCTTCTTAAATTCTGGAGTAGGATTCCTATTTGTATTCATCCTTTTTCTGGCATCCTCTTTCCTTGTCACAGGATAACATGTGAACCAGAAATTGCTTTTAATAGCTATTCTTGCTTACTAATGTGAAGCGGGATCCACATTCCAAAAGTAGTATTTAGCTGCTGCCATGGAATGTGATTCTAGGACATCTGAAGTCACCATCCCGTCTCCATGGTGAATGCGGGAAGCTGCTCGAGATGGAAACCATCATGGCATCTGAGACCCTATAAACTTTGCAAGTCTGTGTCCTCCTCTATAAAATGGGGCCCACTAAAAATATATCCTTTATTTCATTGTTGCTAGAAACAAACAGTGCTTAATAATAGAGATTCTGGCTCATAGTGGAGGTCCAATAAATGTTAGTTGTGAAGCCATTATATAAATAATGCCAGACTCTAGAATACTTATCAGATCTATGAAGCAAAGAACACGGATAATGTGATTTGACCAGTACACGTTTTTCCTACATCTTTATTGACTCCTTTGATGATACCTTCCCTCTAAGGTACCTGTTTTAGTTTGCTAGCACTGTCAGAACAAAGTACCAAACTGGGTGTCCTCTGCAACCACCAGACTTGGGTGAAGGTGTTCACAGGGTTAGTGCCTCCTGAGGATTGTGAGGGAAGAGTTTGTTCAGGCTTCTCTCCTTAGCTTATAAAAAGCTGACTTCTCAGCCCACCTGTCTACTTTTGGTTTTATTGCCTGAGTTTTTGGTGTCAAATCCAAGAAATCATTGCCAAAACCAATGTCAAGAAGCGCCCCCTCCCCCATATTTTCTTTGAGGAGTTTGACAGTTTCAGGTCTGACGTTTAAGCCTTTTTGAGTTGATTTTGTGAGGAGTGTAAGAAAGCGGTCCGATTTCATGCTTTTGTTGGTGTATATCTAGTTTCCCCAATGCCATTTGTCGAAGAGACTATCCTATCTTCGTTGTGTGTCCTTGACACCCTTGTCGAAGATCAACCGATCATATATGTGTAGGGTTAATTTTAAGGTCTCTAATCTGTTTCATATGTTTATATTTATGTTGTTTTAATTACTTCAGCTTTGCAATTTATTTTTGAAGTCATGAAGCACATTGCTTCCAGCTTTGTTTTTCTTTCTCAAGATTGTAAAGCTAACAGTTCTTTATGGGTGTGGTGAGTGAATAATTTTCATGTCAGAGACTAGTTTTTACTATAGATTCCCTTCCTTCCCCATCCTGCTTATTTTAAAATAATAATCTTCGAAAATTGCTGCACAGATAAAGATGACAAGAAAATAATGCTCTGATCTAATAGTTCCATTTTTCCACACTGATGCTAACTCGTCTTTCAAACTTTGTTTCCTTTTTTGTTTCTTTAAAGGCTGAAAAGAAAGGATCCAGCAATACAGTTACCGGTATGATCTTTGGATGTTACGCTTTGTTTGACTTGCTGGCATCTTTGGTATTTGGAAAATATGTAAGTATTGAAGTTCATATGAACATTTTAATTTTTAAAAGTTGTGTCATTGAGCTCTTCTAATTTATAAGTGTAGAATTTCCATTGATTCAGAAATAACCGCCATTATATTTTATGAATTATGCCCTTGTTGATAACTGTATTCATAGGGTTGACTGATTTTTTAAGTTTTTATTTTAATTTCAGTTAGTTAACATCAGTGTGTAATATTAGATTCAGGTGAGCAATATAGTCCTTCAACACTTCCGTACAACACCTGGTGTTCATCACAAGTGCCCTCCTTGATCCCCTTCACTTCTTTCACCCATCCCCCCACCCACCTTGTTCTGGTAACCATCAGTTTGTTCTCTATAGTTAAAAGTCTTGGCTTGCTTCTTTTTTTATTCTCTTTCTTCATTTGTTTTGTTTCTTAAATTCCCCAGATGAGTGAAATCATATGGTATTTGTCTTTCTCTGACTGGGTTGTTTTTTTGCTTATCATAATGGGTTGATTGATTTTTTGTTTCTTCAGTGTTTGTAAGCAATGCATGTTCTCATTCCACTAAAGAATTATTATAATATTATGTTAACTGTATATATATTTCTCACATCTTATCTTTCCTGATACAGTGGATTTGTGTTTATGTGGATGTAGACTTGTAACAGTCATCAATTTACCACTCTTCTCTGACATTTATTATAGCTTGTACATATTGGAGCAAAATTTATGTTTGTAGCAGGAATGTTTGTCTCAGGAGGAGTTACAGTTCTCTTTGGGTAAGTCATGCTCTGATATGTTTGGGAGCTTGAACAGATTTCATAATTTGTCTTCAGTTTAAAATGTTAATGGATTCTTTAAATCCGTCAGTTCCATTGATTGTTGAGTGTCCAACTTGTAACTACTGGATGATTTAGAGGGTGGGACTGATGAAGGAAAGAGCCTTCTAAGGGTTTACCATCAAGTGGCTTCTGAATCTGTTCATTAGGACTCCTATGAGTAGGAGTGACAGAAACTTAACTCACTTTTCTGAGTCACAGATACATTTTGGCTTGAGTGGAAAAAATGCAATAAAGAATCAGTTGAAGACTATCAGGAGAAACATGTTAAAATAATGCCCTTGGAAATCTGTCTCAAGCTCTGAGTTTTCCTTTCCTCTTCTTGTGCTTTGTTCTTGAACAAGCTATCCCCGTGGTGGCAAGAATTCCCCAGCAGCTCCCATAGGAAGAGAATGCCACTTTTCCCAAGCTTCCGGGAGGTTCACAGGGTGGAGCCCCTGGCCTGATCTTCGTGGGTGACCTATCCCTGCATCAAAGATAATGTAGGGGAGGGGGTGCTCTGATTGGCCAGGCTTGAGTCACGTGCTCACTTCAGAATGGTTCCCTCCATTGCTATTTCCAAGAAAAGGGAAAATAGAGGAAAATAGCTATGGAAGTTCTTAAGCGTAAGAGTCCTTAAACCAGCAGGCTAGTGGAAATAATATGGGAGAGCCTACACAGCTTCTTGGGGAACGTAGAAAAATGAAGAGTTCCATAAGATTATGATGAAGTAAGCTGAGGAAGCCTTTATGTCAAACTAAGTGTGGTTTCTTTTTCTTTTTCAATTTTTTTTTTACAGGGGAACGGGGGTAGTCTTCTATTTTCTGCCCTTTTTTTATTTCAAGGTTTGAGTTCTACCACTGAGGGATACCTGAAACTAAGAAGTCTTTCTTTTTTCTTTTTTTTTTTTGTTTAATCTTTAACATTTATTTATTTTGAGAGAGAGACAGAGCATGAGCGGGGGAGGGGGGGCGCAGAGAGAGACACAGAATCTGAAGCAGGAAGCAGGCTCTCAGCTGTCAGCACAGAGCGCTATGCAGGGCTCGAACCCATGAGCGAGATCATGACCTGAGCCGAAGTCTGGCACTCAACCAACTGAGCCACCCAGGCGCCCCAGGAAGACTTTCTTTTGTATATGTTCTGGTCAGAGGGATTCTACCTATTTCAGAGAAGCTGATTTAATATTATCATTTAGACGGCCAATTACGTCAGCAGAAAAGGGTGACTAAACTGTCATTATGAATCAAATTGTTACCCCCCCATAAAAGAAAATTCCCTCAGTATAACAAAGCAATTAAAAAATTCATAGTCTAAAGAGATTTATTATAATAACTGGGTGAGATACTACTCTTTTCAGTGAGTAGAGATAGAAAGGAAAAAAAACCCCTAAAAACCAACTTGGCATTTGAGAATTGTCTTGTTCTTTTTTAGCGTGTTGGACCAAGTTCCAGAAGGACCAATGTTTATTGCTATGTGTTTTCTAGTGAGAATAGCAGATGCAGTCAGCTTTGCGGCAGCAATAACTGCATCTTTTTCTATTCTTGCAAAGGCCTTTCCAAACAATGTGGCTACAGTGTTGGTATGTATTTTATACATTTTTCCAGTTTTCCTTTTAGTGTAGGCTAAAATATTTGTTTACCTTTCCAAGCTAAAGCTGAAATCTGTTCTTCTAGGTCTGTTTTTCCCCCTATTTTCTGTGTTTTGGTTACCTTTTACCCCAATTACTGCTTCCAGCAGTGGGCTGTCAGTGAATGTACCATTAGTCTTATTTAGGTCTCTTCCTGGGCTTAGAATCCCTCAAATAAGCATTTTGAAAGGTAAATTTAGTTCAAACTAAATAATCTTTTTACCATTAAAAAAAAAAAAGACTCCCCAGTAATATTTTGTTGTCTCTCTGTAGCCCAGATTGTGGCTGAGCTACGAGAAGCATTCCTTTGCTTTAGAAAAGTCGTCCCCAGTGGCCACTTCGTTATATACTAATGTCTTTCCTCTACTTTCCCCAGATTCATGGAAGGAATCTTAGAGATCTTGAAGTCCTTATATGCTTCTGTGCTGTTGATGAGTGCCTTCTTATTTTCCCCCAAACCCAGAACTTGATAGCATTGTATTAACATGATATATTGGCTACATGCCTGGACACCTGGCATTAGTGACGTACCAGATGTGTGTCCCAGCTCTTGGCCACTGCCTCCTTCACCCCAAGCAGGCTCTCTCATGCCTGTGTCCTCTGGACCCATGCATTTCTGAAGGACCTGTGGTTTGCATATTAGACCAAGTAAATGCAGCCCTCACAACAAAGAATTGTCCTCTAGACTTCAGGGCCTAATCAGCTTAGTACCAACAGTTTCTTCATGTACCCATATATTAATACTATAGCTTTGGCCATTGAGTACACTATTTGCTGTGTAGATCATTATTTATTTCCATTTTGATTAAACACCTATATCTATAGCCAGCTCTCTAGCTGCTTAGGTTTATTTGAGGTTCTGTAGCCATGTGGCACTCAGTGGTGGCCCCTGTGACAGGTGTCCTGCTCACATTTCCCAGACATAATATTTCTCAGAGAGGGTTATGGAGAACATGTGCCCATTGGCCTGCTCTGTAAAATAAGGTTTTTTGGGTAAAATGTTTGGCATGCACATATGCTGTCTTCCAACTTAGAGATGCTCAGTTCACGTGAGTGTATTTGACTTTGAGAAATTCTGTAGTAAAGATACTTTATTTAATTTTCCCCAACTCAATTTGACTATGGAAACACTTTTTAACTCTTAAAGAATTGCTGTTCTGTGGAACATTCTGGAAGGTGCTGCCCAAGAAACTCCTATGACAAAGGCAGCAATCCAGTTGATCTTCTGACTAACAGGGGAAATTAATGTTGCCATACCAAGTTTCTATATAAAAATTGTGGCCAAAAGCTGACACACTTAACACAGTGGATGATCTGGATGGTTTCATTGTGATTAAATGTAGAATTCCTATATTCTTTATGAAATTGAAAGTTACCAAAGGGCTACTTTCGTGTCCTCTCTGAGGTCTGAGGATGTGAGGGTGTAAGCCACAGTCTCTAGTCAAAAGACTAGATTGATTTAAAAGGGGCGCCATTTCTTTAAGAGTTTTTTAATAGTAAAATATTTTCCATAGTACTGTTTTGTTTCTTTTAATTTTAACAAGAACATTTTATATGGTATAAAATTTAAAAGTTATAAAAGGAAATAGAAGATATAAAGAATATATTCTATATATTACTTTTCCTCAAGTTTCATAGACATACCTGTTATCCAGGCACCCAGTCCAACATCATTCTCCCAGAAGGCATCAGGGATTATCGGTTCCTTCTAGGGGGATTCCATGTGTGTATGAACATGTATGTACGCACACGCATGCACTGACACACACACACACACACACACAGGGCATGATTCCTTCCCCCTTTGTTTTCTTTACACTAGTGGCAGCATACTCTCTACACTGTTTTGAACCTTGCTGATACACTAACAATGAAACCATCCTGAAGGCCTTTCTATGCCTGTATGCGAAGAGTTTCCTGCTCTTTACTTCCCTTTAGTAGCAGCATATAGTACGTGACCATATGGAGGTAACATACATCCATAGTTACTTCCAATTGTCGATGAATATTTAGATCCTCAACATCTTTCGCTGGTGCAAACAGTGCAATAACACGTAAGCTTCTACATACGCCATGTCACATCTTTATGGCTCCCCATATAAATTAAATTCCCAGAATGGCATTCTGGGTCAGAGAGTATGTGTGTTTGTCCTATTGATAGATTTGCCAAATTACCCTCCTTTGTTCGCTCACCAGCATGTAAAAATGTGCCTCTTTCCTCACTTTCTTGTCAGCAGAGTGTTTGATGGGTGATGGGTAAAAATTGGTATCTTGTGGTTCAGCTGTTTCCTTCTTTTAAAAGTGAGGGTGAGCTTTCTTTTACATGCCTGAGAGGTATTTGTATGTTGTTTTATGTGTCAATAGTCTATTTGTAGCATTTGCTCATTTTCCTATTGGGTTGTTCATTTCCGCCCCCCCCCCCCATTGGTTAGTACTAGCTCTTTTGATAAATTTGGGGAAATTAGTCCTTTGTAATTTTTTTTAACCATTCTTCATTTGTCTTTTGATGTGGTTAACCAGCCATAGTTCTTTCATATTTTCATATAATCAGATTGATGAATCTTTTATGTCTTCTGAGTTTTATGTCATAATTAGAAAAACTTCCCTACCGTAAAAAAAAAAAAAACAACTCCCATGTTTTATTTTGCTAGCTCTTCTTTGATTTCAATATGCATATTTAAAGTTTTGGGTCATCTTGGGTTTAGGTGGGTTTGGGTGTGTAAATTGTGAGGTGGATAGTTTTTTTCATTGTCACATTGAAAGTGTTCATTAAATCTTTATTTGTTAATTCTTCAAACAAACTGTATTGACTCAATTCTCTTTTTATTCCCCCATTTTTAGGGAAGTCTTGAGATTTTTTCTGGCCTGGGACTAGTGTTAGGGCCCCCTTTAGGTGGCTTCTTGTATCAATCCTTCGGCTACGAGGTGCCTTTTATCCTTCTGGGATGCATAGTTCTGCTGATGGTACCACTCAACATGTACATTTTACCTAATTATGGTAAGACTGCATGTATTCCTCACTTTAAGAATCTTAAACTTAAGTATTTTTATACCTTTATAGGGGACCGAGTTAACAATACTCACTTTTATCTTGTATACTCAATAGTAGATTTCTGGTGTATCCCGAAAGAGCTGATCATCTTTTTGGAAATGTTGCTGTAAGCAGTTTATATGAATTTCTATGTATTACAATTTTCTCCTGACCTTTAGAACTGACAAATACTTAATTTCTCATCATAAAACATCACCATATAAAGCGTCCACCAGAGGTGTTCTTGGACTTAGTTAAATATTGAGAATGACAAGTTACCCAGGGTCACGCATGGCACTGTCTTCTTGGAAGGCCATTAGATGGGAGGGCAAGGCCAGACCTTCTCCCCAGTGGTCGTCGCAGCTGCCTGTGCGGTACAGCCCAGGTACAAGGACACAGAGCCACACCAGGCAGTAATGAGGGTCACCCTGGCCTCAGACCTTCATGCCGCATACGAATCAACCTGTCCTGTACCAGCTCCATAGACATAGCTGCCAGGGTCACCATGAGGGCTACCACGGAACAAGAGTCAGCACATTCAGGGAGGCACAAGCATGGTGTCCTCATCAGGTATTCATGGCTCATTTATAGTTCCTTCCGTACAGATGAAATTCACCAGGCAAAGGTTATTTTTACTGTAAGCAAGATTGCCTAGTGACATAGTTGGCAGTTTGCCTTATCAGATGACGAAGGGAACAGAGCCAGAGAGTTAACCTGAAACCTAGAGAGCAGAGAGCCAGAGAATTGTTCTAGAGAGGCACCACCACGCTGAAACATGGGGCGGTACCTGTCGGCTTTCTACTTGTAAGACTGTGGTTTCTGTGGTCGGGCATCCTCGTTGCTTGGTTCACAGATGAACAGTTGGGCTGATAATCAAAAAACTGGCCGGGGCGCCTGGGTGGCTTAGTCGGTTAAGCGTCCGACTTTCGCTTAGGTCATGATCTCGCGGATCGTGGGTTCGAGCCCCGCGTCGGGCTCTGTGCTGACTGCCAGCTCAGAGCCTGGCCTGTTTCAGTCTGTGACTCCCTCTCTCTCTGACCCTCCCCTGCTCACGCTGTCTCTCTCTCTCTCTCCTAGAAATAAATAAAAACATTTAAAAAAAAAAAAAAAACTGACACCAGGTCACATTCTCGTGGAGTGGGGAGAAGAGTCCCGATCACCCTTTACCACGCTGTATAGGGGGAAAGACGTTGTTTATTAATTAATGGTAGGGCAGGGTATTTAGAACTTGTGTGATTAGGCACTGGACTGGCCCCAACATCTGTTTCTCCTGGAGTCCTGGCCTGCTCCCTCCTCTCCTCCCTCCCCCCACAATCTTTTGCAGCCCCCTATGATTGCCACCAGCCTAGTTACTTGGCAGTCATTTCTCTTCATGTCAGTTATCCCTCAAGTAACAGCATTTTCATTGAACTTAACAAAGTCCCAGTTAGCTATATTGTTATGAACAAACTTTTTGGCAAACTTTCTGTTTATCTATGGAAGGATTTTCTATTTAGATTGAACGGGAAAAACCTGGTATTAATAAAATATCTCTAAGATTGATAATATAAAGCCTGTAAGTGTAGATTTAAGTGTTCTCATTAAGGAGTACTTTATAAAATCCATGTTTTGGTAGGGACCTGGGTGGCTCAGTCAGTTGAGCACCCAACTCTTTTTTTTTTTTTTTTCATTTTTGATGCAACTTTAATTGGAATATTTTTAAAACTTGTTTTTCTGATAATTTGTTAATACAGTATAGAAACACAAATTTCCTTTTTTCTTTTTTCTTTTTTTTTTTTACAAATAGTTTATTGTCAAATTAGTTTCTACATAACACTCAGTGCTCATCCCCAAAGTGCCCTCCTTCATGCCCATCCCCCCTCCCCCCCACATCCATCAGTCCTCAGTTTTTGTCAGCATTCAAGAGTCTCTCATGGTTTGCCTCTCTCCCTTTCCCCCACCATTTCCGCCCTTCTTCTCCCCCTTGGTCCTCCGTCAAGTTCCTCCTAATCCTCCTATACGTGCAAACATATGGTATTTGTCCTTCTCTGCCTGACTTATTTCGCTCAGCATAACACCCTCAAGGTCCATCCATGTTGCTACACATGGCCAGATTTCATTGTTTCTCATTGCCATGTAGTATTCCATGGTATAGATAAACCACATATTCTAGATCCAATCATCAGTTGATGGACACTTAGGCTCTTTCCATGTTTTAGGTATTGTGGAGAGTGCTGCTATGAACATTGGGGTACATGGAGCACCCAACTCTTGATGTCAGCTCAGGTCATAATCCCAGGTGTGGGATCAAGCCCCGTGTCGGGCTCCACTCTGAGCGCAGAGCCTACATGGGATTCTCTCTCCCTCTCTTTCTCTGTCCCTCCCTGACTCACACATGCACTCTCTTTCTTTCTCTCAAAAATGAATAAATAACCACTAAAAAAATAAAAAATAAAATTAGGATTTTGGGAGAGCTTTTGGATAGAAGCTAGAAAGTTAAATTTTCTTTTGTTTTGATGATGTTGACAGAATTTTGTGTTTGGAAAGTTCTACTTCACTCCTTTACCTCATTCTAGACTCATAGCCAACATGGTTCCAGAGTCAACTTTGGTCGCTCCTTCTCTCTCATCCTTTGTGTCTGCTCATCAAGTCCCTGCTTCTGCACTGCTCTAAAGAAATGTTTCTGAAACATAGTCATGGACGTGCCAATCCTTTTATTAAAAAAATCTGAAAATCTGTCATATGTGAGCTTTATCCTGAAAGCTGTGATGAAGCTGTTGTGAGATCTCAGTAGAGGAGTCATATGATCTGAAATCTCTCCCCTTCTCATACACTCTAACACTTCCTCATCCTTTAAAACCTAATTTGTATTACCTCTTCTGGGAAATCTTTCTGAAGCTTCTCGATCATTGGACTAAAAGCTGAGTAAGTGGTGCTGCAGTGATCAGCATGCTTCCTGCCCCTTCACACCTGAGGGGTTCCCTGTTTCCCTCCGCTGCTTCTTCACCCCTACCAGTAGCTTCCTATGTCAGGGCAGGTCAATCAGGGGGTCATGTCTCTCTAAAAGAATATGTCAGAATTGTAGGGAGCAGAGAGAGTACCCAAGTAGCTTGGAAAAGCTCCCCTTCTGTCTCTTAAAACAAATACCACCCTAGGTTTTCATTACTTGGGCTTCTGCAACAGTTTAATTAAACTCATTATGTACTTGTTTGTATGGATGCTCTTACATACTCTCATTGTGATTTCTCATTTTTCCCACTTTGAATTGAGAGAAGGTGCCATTTCGGCCATAATAATTTATCTTCTAGCATAGATCCATAATACCTTTTATATGCAAATAAATATAACCAATTCAAGTTGATCTTTTGTAATTTATATCTTAAAGGGGACTGATGAAAATCTTTTTCTTTTTTTACAAATAGTTTATTGTCAAATTAGTTTCCACATAACACCCAGTGCTCATCCCCACAAGTGCCCTCCTCCATGCCCATCCCCCCTCCCCCCTACATCCATCAGTTCTCAGTTTTTGTCAGCATTCAAGAGGAAAATCTTTAATAAACAATTCAAAATGCACACCAAATGGAGTCCCTTGCTGACCCCACTGCACCGAGCCATCTATCTGGTGGTGCTTGTCCCCTTTCTCAGTCTAACTGTGCACGTCCTGTAGTTGAGCGTCATGGACTGTGCTCATATTTGGTTCACCATTGAATATTTGGCTGATAATTAAGAAACGGACATCGTGACTTAACTTTATGCCTTGTATCCTGACAAAGTCTAAATGTAGCACTTTGTGCTTCTTTGAATTTGTTCTGTAATGGATCGTTATTCACCAAGAATTAAGTAATGAAGCATGGTGGGTGTTTTTGAAGAAATGAGAATATGCAGGTGCTAATCCTCACCCTCAAAGGTCTTCTTTCCCCAATCCTGGCCTGTATCATCTCTGGCCTGGCACTCCAGCAGCCTCCTCACTGGTCTTCTTGTCTCCCTTCTCCTCAAGGCCATGGAGAGTTCTCTTGAAACCACAAATCTCATTCCTACCCCTTGTTTAGAATCCGTAGTGATTTCTCGGGCCCCTTAGCATGTTTTACAAAGTCTTGCATAAACATGCTTCTGCAGTATGATCTCTCTCCACCGTGCTGGTGTCCTCCTCTTTCCTTTCCTCAAACAGAGAACAGTTTTCCTCACTTCTGAATCTTGGAACGTACCATTCCTGGAATAATGTGCCTGGATTATTCTTTCTTCCTTCTTTGCTTGCTCATCGGAAGCTCATGCTTTGGCCACCGACTTAGATACTACTACTTGAGGAACGCCTTCTTTATATGGCTTTCCCTGCTTCTGTTTTTTGTTTTTGCTTTTGTTTTTGTTTTTTTTAAGTCAACTCTCTCCTGTGCTCTGAAAGGTTCCCTCCTAGTTCCATCCTTTCTCTCTCCACTCCTTACTGTAACTTCTCTGAACGACAGGGTCTGAGCTTGTCTTCTTTGCCTTTGTCTGCCCAGCATTTTGCCTGGTACCTGACTCGGCAAAGATTTTGCTCAGTAAATTAACTGGAAGTTAGGAAAATCACCAAACAATAGTAAACAATGTAAAATGAAATGTGGTTTAGGTGCTATGGTACAGACCACAAGTAGTAGTAGTAGTAGTACTACAAGTAGTAGTAGGAAACAGAGGAAGGTAAGATTTGTGGAATAATTAGGGCCAGAGCCAGACCTTACAGAATGAATAGAATTTGAAAAACTAGCAGGAGGAAAAGAAAGGAGTCATAGCATGTGACTGGAGATTTGGAAACATCATTTCCTATTTCTGGGAACGGTAAAGAATCTGGGTTACTGCAAGGGGGATGCTAGAAGTGAGGTTTGTGCCCAGTTGACCTTGAATGCCCGTGTAGTTTATGCAGGATTCAGTAGCACCCTTCTCAATCTGGTGTTTTCTTTGCCATCAGAAAAAAAATCATCTTGTGTTCTTTGATGAACTCAGAGTCCTTCTCCACATGCATATGTTGTTCCTTGATAAAGCTTCTAGCTTTTTCCTTGCACCAAGTCTAACTTCACATATCTCTGTCCCTGTGGGAGGAGGCCTCACTCACTTCAAAGTTATAACCTGTAACCTAAGACCCCCTCTTCTTCTCACACTCTGATTCCAGTTGACTCTTTACAGATCTGAGAAATTGTTTTTAAGAAGGCTGAATGTGGCTTCTAGGTTTGAAACATTTATACACAAATGCAGACACTGTGCAATTTTAGGCAAACTCAGAGGTGCAGTTCTTTTGATTACCGGATAAAAGATGGCCTTACCAATTTTAACTTTCCAAAATAGGTTAAAATTTTAATTAGTCTCTTTTGAATTTTTTACCCACAGACTCTGATCCTGGGGAACACTCATTCTGGAAACTCATCACGTTACCCAAGGTTGCGCTTATAGCCTTCGTCATCAACTCCCTCAGCTCATGCTTTGGCTTCCTTGATCCTACTCTGTCCCTCTTTGTTCTGGAGAAGGTGAGTACTCTGCCTGTCAGTGGTCTTTGCACAGTAGAAGGTGGATACACTTGCTTGCTCTGGGCCCCTGCTCTGTAGAAAGACCTCCGAGTGGCTGTGAGAAGGAGACAGAATGAGAACTACAACCCAGCACAGGCCATGTGCTCTCACTCTGTGCCATCCCTTTCACCAGGGGTCTGATTCAGGGCAAGTGAAAGAAGCTTTTCACCAAGTGGCCCAAACATTGGTCTCCTTTTTAAGATCTTACTTGAGTTATCACACGTCCGGCTTGGGTATCATCCTCACTGCTGGACAAGGACACTTTTCCTCTACTTGTTTGAATTCCAGTGAGGCATTTGGGGTGCTCCGTAGCTCATGTAATGTTCTTCACTAACAGATCCCCTGTGGGTCCACTTACTTTTTAGGCTGTTACATATAATTGAATGACTATGGAATATATTAATCTGAGAGAAGAGTCTTTCTCTCTCCCTTTTTTTTATAGTGCTGGAAAATAAATGCTGAATGTAAGAGTGTGTTGTAGAGATTTGCTCTTAGATATCTTTTTTTTTTAATTTAGAGAGGAAGAGCATGAGTGAGGGAGAGGGGTGGAGGGAGAGAATCTGAAGCAGGTTCCATGCTCAGTGCAGAACCTGAAATGGGGCCAGTGCGGGTTTCGATCCCATGACCCTGGGATCATGACCTGAACTGAAGAGTCAGAGGTTTCACCGACTGAGCCACCCAGGCACCCCGCTCTTAGATATTTCTGAAAAAAAGGTTATCAGTAATGTGATAGAATACATTACCAACTCTGGTAGTTAATTATAGTGAAGGCTTAACGTATTTATAAAGGTAGAAATCTAATTGCAGGCCTTGCTGACTTTATGTGAGGTACTGGCATTAAAAAAGCACAGTTACCACAGTTACCACAACTCCTCAGCGTAACTTGGGATAGTTTTGTGTTGGTGAAATACCCCAAAAGGTAAACGTGGACACTGTCATTTTGGTGCCTTGCCTGAGATTTCGAAAATAATGTAATATCTTGCTTAAGCAGTGAGCATCCATGAGGTAACAAGAAACCCATTTTGTGTTTTTGAGGACACATTCCAATCACACCATCAACAGTGTAGCACCAGGAGTCCTTTTTTGTACCCTCTTAAGAATTTCTGCCTACTTAGCCAATGTCTGGTGAATCCAAGTTGCTCATGTCTATTTCATAAGAAATCATTACAAGTGTCATTTTCTAAATACACTCAGAAATACATCTTTGACTTTTCCTGTTTTTCTATAGACAGTTTTTATCCTACTGCCGTTCTTCTTACTTCTCACCAGTTGTTTGAATTGGCAGTTCACTGTCCACTATTGGCCCCCCAGCCTTTTAGGCCGGGAGCGCTCCACACTGTCTTGACCATTTATAAAATTGGGAGAAGACAAACGTCTGACTTTTTTCTTCCTCTTGGTATCTTTCTTTAAAGATAAGATTAGTCTTTCTTTATGGGGCGCCTGGGTGGCTTAGTTGGTTAAGCATCCGACTTTTGCTTAGGTCATGATCTCGCGGTTCGTGGGTTCGAGCCCCGCGTCGGGCTCTGTGCTGACTGCCAGCTCAGAGCCTGGAGCCCGTTTCAGTCTGTGACTCCCTCTCTCTCTGACCCTCCCCTGCTCACGCTGTCTCTCTCTCTCTCCTAGAAATAAATAAAACATTAAAAAAAAAAAAAAGATTAGTCTTTCTTTAAAGACTAATTTGTTATCAAATTGTTGAAACGTATATGGACTCCTACTATATAAATCTCACGTGCTTACTTAAGAAAATCAGTTAAGGAAATTAAGGAAATGAAAACAACTCCGTTAACCAAATCAAGGTGTTTGTATCATACTGTTTGTAACAGTGTCACAAAGTGATGTGGTAACTTACTGTTTTAAGAGCCTTTTGTAAAGTGTCATACAATGTAATTCTTTAAATTAGATCCCTTTAGATCTAATTAAATTAGATCTAATCTAATTAGATCTCTGTAACATCCCTTTGAAATGGATACAATAGATAATATCCTTCATGTTTTTCACACCAGTGTATTTCAGTCCCTGGACAGTAAACATCACCTAGTTGCCTATTAGTTGCCTATTAGAAATCAGATTGTCTGGCCCCATCTCATGCCTTTTGAATCAGAAATTCTAGGGCTGAAATCTAAGAACTTTTTTTTTTTTTTGGCCCCATCCCTTGAACCAAGGCATGTTAGCACTTGGATCCAACTAAGAAACTGTTTTAAAAGGTTCTCTGGGCAGTGCCTAGGTGTCTCAGTCAGTTAAGTAACTGACTTTTGATTTCTGTTCAGGGCATGATCTCAAGGTTCAAGCCCTGTGTCTGGCTCTGTGCTGTTTGGGATTCTCTGTCTCTCCCTTTCTCTCTGCCCTTCCCCTGCTCTCATGCCCTCTCTCTCTAAATAAATAAATAAATAAATAAACATTAAAAAAATTTCTCTGGGTCATCCTAATGCACACAAAGTTTATGCAGCACTGGTTTAAACATAAAAATACTATGATTCATAGACACAAAATTATATATATAGTATCAAATGCTGCAAAACAAGATATCTAGGACTTTGGACCTCTGGTTAGATTTTTTTCCCCTCATAGAGAAAAAGTAATCCATTTAAAAATGTACAACCAAAATTAGGAAGTATGGCTAAGTGTTAATAGTGGGCTCATGATGGATAACAAGAGCTGAAGAAGTGGGCAGAAGCGATTTATGTTTGGGGCACGTGGGTGGCTCCGTCAGTTAAGCATCCAGCTCTTGATTTCGGCTCAGGTCATGGTCTCAACGGTTTGTGAGTTCCAGCCCGGCATTGGTCCCTGCACTGATAGCACAGACCCTCCTTGGGATTCTCTCTCTCCCTCCCTCTCTCTGCCCTCCCCCAACTTGTTCATTCTCTCTCTCTCTTAAAATAAAGAAATCAACTATAAAAAATATTTTTGTGGGGCGCCTGGGTGGCTCAGTCGGGTAAGTGTCTGACTTCGGCTCAGGTCATGATCTCACGGTTCGTGGGTTCGAGCCCCGCGTCGGGCTCTGTGCTGACTGCCAGCTCAGAGCCTGGAGCCTCTTTCAGATTCTGTGTCTCCCTCTCTCTCTGACCCTCCCCTGCTCACGCTGTCTCTCTCTGTCCCAGAAAAAAATAAAACATAAAAAAATAAAAAAATATTTTTGTTTATTTAAAACATGACTTAAATACGTGACTCTAATAAAAAAATTCTTTTACAGTTTAATTTACCAGCTGGCTATGTGGGACTCGTATTCCTGGGTTTGGCACTATCTTACTCCATTTCGTCACCACTGTTTGGTTTACTGAGTGATAAAATACCAGTACGTATACTTAATCTACATTTGAGAAACACTTTTGTATATTTAGACGGGTGGGCTTTCTAGCCATTTGTCTGGAACTCTAGAGATCCATTGATTAGAATTGACATTCAATTTAAAAGAAAAATTTTAGCTTATTACTCTTTAATTGAGAAATAAAATTGTAAGATATTGAAAGTGTGCATCATGGTGATTCGAGATCCGAATACGTTGGGAAAGGATGTCCTCCATTGAGTTAATTAACACATCCATCACCTCTATATTATCTCTTTTTTTTTTAATTTTATTTGAGGGGGTGAGAACATTTACATTCTACTATATTCAGTTTTTGGAGTTGATGGAGGGGTCCCAGTGCCTTCCTATCTGCCGTCACTCTGAGAACATTTACTTTTAATTGCTGCTTCTGGCGAACATGGGGTCTGTGCTAACAAGACTATTGAAAACTATTGGATTAGACACTCGTAAGGAAGAAACTCACTCGATGCAAAACACATGGATCTGCCTTAATAATTAGGACAGGGGGGCGCCTGGGTGGCTCGTTCAGTGGAACGTCTGGCTCTCAATTTCAGCTCAGGTCACGATATCACAGATCGTGAGTTCGAGCCCCACAGAGCTCTGCACTGTTAGTGGGATTCTCTCTCTGCCCTCGCCCTGCTCATGCTCTCTCTCTCAAAAATAAATAAGCATTAAAAAAAATAAAATAATTACGGCAGAGTCCCAGAGGTAGTTAGGATATGGTCAGACTGAGAGGAGATAATTTAGTTTTTTTTCCGTGGGAATGAAAGATGTACATTGGTGATCCTGTAGCTGTCCTGAGAGAAATTCCCTTGTGTTCTCCTTTGCTTAGGTCTAAGCCATTCACTCCAGATGCCTGGCATACAGTACTCGTAAGTACTGTTAACCAAATCCCAAACTTCTGTGGCTTTAGTGCTTTTTACTTGTTTGCATTTCCCTCTTCATTAAACTTGCATAAATACTTATCAAGGCCTAAATTACATGGAGATTACTTCGTAATCCAGGTGACAAAAAGCAAGTGTCTTAAAGAGTGGGGCTTCTTTTAAGACGGTCTTCTATAACTGAGCAGATATTTTACCCCTAGAATTTTCAGCCTGCTTTCAAGTGGTTTTGAAGGAATAATTTTATTGGGTGCTTTTAAATAATGTGAAGTTTTCAGGAACCGTATCTACCAAGTGGTGCTTTATGATGTCTGCTTTTTATTTTTATTTTTTAATTTTTTAAAAATGTTCATTCATTTTTTTGAGAGAAAGAGACACCGTGCTAGTGAGAGAGGGGCAGAAAGAGAGACTGGGAGAGAGAGGGAGACAAAGAATCCAGAACGGGCACCAGACTCTGAGCTGTCAGCACAGAGCCCGACGTGAGGCTCAAACTCACCAACCGTGAGATCATGACCTAAACCAAAGTCAGATGCTTAACTGACTGAGCCATCCGGGTGCCCCAAGATGACTGCTTTTTAAATTGTTACTTTGGGGATAGTTCATCATGTGTAAAATCTATAATACACGCCCTTCCCGAGGAATCCTTGTCCTTAGAAATTCCCTATCTTGGGGTATATTGGCTTGCTTTTCGGTTTACCACTTACCTATTTTCTCTTTAAATGTAAAGTTTCATTTTCTGCACTTATTTGGATTTTTAAATGCCATGGTTGGTGTTCTTCAATGATTTTTGTGTATATGCTTTGATTATGGAGGGGCTTTCCCTCTCAGGGATTTTTTGGACTCTGCTTCTCTTTACCAGCATCTCAGGAAATGGTTTCTGGTTTGGGGAAACATAATCACAGCAGGATGCTACGTGCTCTTGGGACCTATCCCAATCATGCACATTCAAAGGTAATTTTTTTTCCTTCTTCTGTATTTTTGGCTGAATAGCATTAAGAATTATTTAAGAAACTTTGTGTGATGCTAGTATGGTTTTGTATTTCAAACCTAATTATTTAAATAATCACTTTGATTTAGGACTATATTGCACTGTTGGTTGGGCTGGCGGTGTTCTCCCTTATTTAGGAGCTAGCACTGGTACAAGCAAATAGAAGTGCATCACGTCTGTATCAAATGCAAAAAAATGCTTCTCCCTTTATGTTTCAATTGCACACTTGTTTGTACTTTGTTTTCAGAATAGCATTTGTTGCTGCCTCCCTTCGCTGATAGTTCTTAAAATGTGTTTTTGCTTTTTCTACTCCTCAATCCTTGAGGCTGGGATCAAATTGTTTTTTTGTTTCTTTGTTTCTTTATCATGTAGTACCTGCTCATTAGAGCCTAGTAAATGTACTTTATTTGCTAAAATACAGGGAGCTGAGAGCTTTTCAGCTGGTTCTGGGGGATAAAGCGTGACACAGAAAGAGCAAGGATCTCAGAGTCCTTCACATTTGGGTTTGCATTTTGCTTTGCCACTTACTAGATATGTGAACTTGGGCAAATCCTTTAGTTTCCAAGAGCCTCTGTTTTCTTATCTCCAAAAAGGAGCGGATAATGGTGCTTACTTGGCAGAATATTGCTGCAAGGATTCAATGCGGTAATGGATGTTAAGTAACTAGCACAGTGCAAGAAATGGAGCAAATTAGTTTCCTGTCTTTCTTTACCACTTCCCTTCTATACCATTTTTTTCTGCCAATTGAATTTCAAAGCCAAGTGATTGAAGGAGCGGCATTAACAAATACCCAATTTTGAAAAGATTTCATGTGGTGATAAGAGGGCACGTGACATGTGTGACCAAAGAAATTGGGGTATTGTGGTAAATTAATCCCCCAACCCCCTCAAAGTGGGAGGAGCTAGAGGTGCGGTCTTTGAATGAAGTGGGATCTGATGGGAATGAGGCCTGAAGCAAGCTCTTCTGGGATTCGGCCTGCCCTCCTTAACTTGAGCTCTGTGTCTTATCAACATGCTAACGTTGTTTTGTTTTGTTTCATTTTCCAAAACCCTTTTGCAGTCAGCTCTGGCTGCTGGTGCTGATACTAGTCTTGAATGGCATCTCTGCTGGAATGAGTATAATTCCAACGTTCCCGGAGATTCTCGCTTGCGCATAGTAAGTGACTTCTGTGCTTGAGGGGCTTTGTTGCAGATAGCAGTGAGCCTTGCCGGTGTTCTTGAATTTCTCAGTTTTGTAGGATGTTGGATTTTTTTTCCCCACAAGACCAAATCTTCATGATTTTAGGTCACACAATATTCTGGTACAAATACTATATGCATTAAAACTGCAATTTAAATGAAAATACAGTAAAACCTTGGTTTGTGACCATAATTCATTCCAGAAACATGCTTATAATCCAAAGTGCTTGTATATCAAAGCGAATTTCCCCTTACGAAATGATGGAAACTCAGATGATTCGTTTCACAACCCAAAAATATTCATATAAAAGTGATTACAATACTGTAATGTAATCCAAAATAATAAACTATAAAATATAAAGAAAAGTAAACAAATTAACCCGCACTTACCTTTGAAAACATTTGTGGCAAGTGTGAGAGAGACAAGAGAGAGGAGGGTTATTGTGTAGGACGACTTTCACTGTCACTAGGGTCTATCTATTGGCTCAATGGAATCTTTTTCTTTTTGTGCAGTGTTAACAAGGAACCTATCCAATGACACTTGCCTTTGCCTCTTTTTGAGGATTTTGAGGAAATGTGACATTGCATTGATGATCAGCACAATCCTATAGCGAGAGAGAGAGAGAACGCCATTCCTCGGTTGTGATCATGTGACATTCGGTGTCACATCCTATTATTCATCAAGTTAAAATTTGTTAGACATGTTTGATCATCTTGCAGAACACTCATAGAACAAGTCACTTGGAACTCAAGGTTTTACTGTATACAGTACTATTAATACAATGATAGATAAAATGAGTTGTGGATGGAGGCTTGACTTGGTTGATGCCAGGAACAGATATACTTCTGAAAAGCTAAAGCACAATGGAAAGACCTCAGTGCTTCCTTCTCATGGAGAAGGTCCATACAAGGGCATATAGTGACCAGGTACAAGGATTCTAGTCCCATTTCTGGAGGGGACAGGAGGGGGAAGGGGCAGTCCCCACACCACCAAGCAATTCTCCAAAACCAGCGAGGTGTCCTACAGTGCACCATCCAGCGATAACATCGGATCCCACAGGTGAAGGGCTCCATCCCACAGACTTCCCTCTGCTTCACCTGCTAGTTGCAAGTCCAGTTGTTACACGTGCTTCTGACCAACTGGCCTGTCAATCAGAGGTTACCTTGATGACCTCCTTAAAGTTCATCTAATTTACTAGAGTGACTCATAGAACTCAGGAATCCAGTGTACTCGTTAGATTTAATGATTTGTTACAAAAGAGATGAAAGGATATGAATCAACAGCCAGATGAAAAGACGTGTTGAGTAACCTGAACAAAAGAACTTTTACCCTCGTGGTTTTGGGGCCCCGGCACACTGGCATGTGGAAAGGTTCTGGTTTACCAACTCAGTATCCCTCTCACCCTGTCCTTTTGGGGTTTTTCTGGACACCTACAAATCCATGATTGAGTAATCACTCACCATTGGCCACTAATTCCATCTTCAGCCACCGGCCCCTCTTCAGAGGTGGGAGGGTTCTGGGTTTGGGAGTTCTAACCCCTCCAATCACACGGTTGTCTCTCTGGGTGACCAGCCCCTAAAATTCATCACATTAACATAAAAAAAGGTACTTGTGGGGCGCCTGGGTGGCTTAGTCGGTTAAGCGTCCGACTTCCACTTGGGTCATGTTCTCGCGGTTCGTGGGTTCGAGCCCCGCGTCGGGCTCTGTGCTGACTGCCAGCTCAGAGCCTGGAGCCTGTTTCGGAGTCTGTGTCTCCCTCTCTGACCCTCCCGTGCTCACGCTGTCTCTCTCTCTCCTAGAAATAAATAAAACATTAAAAAAAAAAAAAAAAGGTACTTGAAATTATTTGAGTGACTTAGGAAATTCCAAGGGTGTTAAGGGCTCTATGGTGGAAACAGGAGGAAGACCAAAGAGCCAGGCTTTTCTCACTTGGCCATCCGTGTTGTTTACGAGGCATGATGATGAAGAACTCCACATGAACCAGAGCTGGGAGATATCAGTGGGGTCGATCCAACATATTTCTGAGGACTAGGGAGTGGCCTCGGTGTTTTCTAAAAGTTGCCCATTATTCTTTTTGCATGTTTATCTCATTTTAAGACTTTTTTTTAAATTAGGGGGCACCTGAGTAGCTCAGTCAGTTTAGCGTCCGACTTTGGCTCTGGTCATGATCTCGCGAGTTCATGAGTTCAAGCCCTACATGGGCTTGCTGCTGTCAGCAGGGAGCCCAAATCTGGTCATCTGTCCCTCTCTTTTTACCCCTCCTATACTCACCCTCTCTTCTCAAAAATAAATAAATCATTAAAAAAAAAAGAATTTCTTTATTGTATATTTTTATGAGACTTCATGCAAGCGGGTCATGATTCTTAATATCCTATTTTAGATATGCAATAAGATTAATTTTAGAAAACCATGGAGTAAACATAACTGAAAATTCCTTCAAATTAGATTAGCTTTTATCTTAGAAACAAAGTGTTCTGTCTGATGGTTCTTCCGTAGTCAAGGTTCACCCATCCAGGACTCAAGAGATGGAAATGGGATAGGCACCACTCATTCTTTTTGTGTGTGTGTGTAAAGTTTGTTTTTATTTATTTTATTGTATTTATTTTTCAATAGTTTATTGTCAAGTTGGTTTCCATATAACACCCAGTGCTCATTCCAACTAGTGCCTTCCTTCATGCCCATGGTCTCTCTCTATTTTTTTTAACGTTTATTCATTTTGGGGAGACAGAGTGTGAGCCGGGGAGGGGCAAAGAGAGGGAGATGCAGAATCTGAAGCAAGCTCCAGGCTCTGAGATGTCAGCACAGAGCCCAACGTGGGGCTGAACTGTGAGATCATGACCTAAGCCAAAGTCAGCCACTTGGCCGAGCTACCCAGGTGCCCCCAGATTACTCCCAGTCTCTTTAGCTTATCCGGCACACACTGTTCTTGGCTTTCACACAAGTTTCCCTATTCATAACAGATCTACTCTTGTCTCTTTGCAGCGAAAATGGATTTGAAGAAGGATTAAGTACCTTAGGACTTGTGTCAGGTCTCTTCAGTGCCATGTGGTCAGTTGGGTGAGTAACCATTTCATTCACACCTGCAAGATGGAAAATACATACATTTGCAGAAAGACATTGACACTGAGAGGTCTGAAGAGTTGCCCAAAGGCACCTCATTCATTTGGGCAGAGCTGAGGTTCTAACCCACACCCTCTGACTCCAAGATCGGTGGTTATACCAACAGTTTAATACCTAATCAAAGTGGTCCCCATACATGTTGTCTTAAGTGATCTTTCAAAGTTCTTTTAACAGGAGCATGGCTCAGTACTCCTCATTCATTTGTTTTGTTTTTATTCTTTTCTAGTTCTGAGGAATAACTGTATGCTGGAATTGTAGACCATCCCCATAAATATGTACAGACTTAAGTTCTTTTAAATACAATTATTGAGAACGATAGAGGGAATAATATAAGGATTCTTTTGCGTGCATGTCACCTTTTTAAAATTTTTATGTAAGACACCAACTTTTTAGAAGCAGTTATAATTTTAGGATTGTTTAAAAAGATTTAAACGTCATTATTATCAGGTAGCATTGTTTTGTCACACCCAATGGTTCCCCACAAGAGTTGGTTTCTGTCTTTAGTACTTACAGTTCCAATTTACTTATTTTGTATCTTTTTTTTAATGTTCTGTTTATTTTTGAGAGACAGCGTGAGCAGGGGAGGGACAGGGAGGGAGACACAGAATCCAAAGACAGGCTCCAGGCTCTGAACTAGCTGTCAGCACAGAGCCTGACGCGGGGCTCAAACCCACAAACCGTGAGATCATGACCTGAGCTGAAGTAGGATGCTTAACCAACTGAGCCACCCAGGCGCCCCTTGCAGTTCCAATTTAATGAAGATCTACGATTGAGGGATCATGCAGCCTTTAGAAATATTTTTTTTTACACCATTTAATACGCTTTCTTCTTTTCGTTGTTAGTGCTTTTATAGGACCCACACTGGGTGGATTTCTGTATGAGAAAATTGGTTTTGAATGGGCAGCCGCTGTGCAAGGTCTTTGGGCTTTGACAAGTGTGAGTTGTCAGTCTTTTGTTTTCCTCTTCCTTACATTCGTGGAGAAGTGTGACTTAGAGCATTGTCATTAACCGTTTCTTTAATTATGTTGCAGGGATTAGTGATGGGCCTATTTTACCTGTGGGAGCACTCCCGGAGAAAAAGGTATGGTCAGTTCTTGAGCTAATTTTTTTCCCTTTAAAAGTCAGCCTTTTGGGGCACCTGGGTGGTTCAGTCAGTTAAGCATCCAACTTCAGCCCAGGTCATGATCTCGCAGTTTGTTGGGTTTGAGCCCTGAGCTGTCAGCACAGAGCCTGGAGCCTGCTTCAGAGTCTGTATCTCCCCTTCTCTCTGTCCCTCCCCTGCTCATGCTGTGTCTCTCTCTGTTTCTCAAAAATAAATATATGATAAAAAAAAAAAAAGTCTGCCTTTTAAACACCTGGGTGGCTCAGTTGGTTAAGCATCAGACTCTTGATTTTGGCTCAGGTCATGATCTCACAGTTGGGCTCGTGAGTTCCAGCCCCTTGTGGGCTTTGCACTGACTTGTGGAGCCTCTTTGGGATTCTCTCTCTCTCTCTCTCTCTCCCTCTCTCTCTCTCTCTCTGACCCTCCCCTGCTTGTGCACTCTCTGTCTCTCAAAATAAATAAGCATTAAAAAAAGAAAAGTTAACCCCGGGGAAGTGGAAAAGAAATAATCATTTTACACTCATCCTTCAGTCAGCAGATTTCTGAGCATTGTAAGCCTCATCGCTTGGTAGGTACATTTAGGGGGAAAGGTAGAGATGCAGGTACTGGGTTTTTTTAAGATGAGAAATATTTGAAATTTTTTTAAATGTTTTATTTATTTTTGAGAGAGAGAGAGAGACAGCGTAAGCAAGGGAGGGCAGAGAGAGAGGGAGACACAGAATCTGAAGCAGGCTTCCCGTTCTGAGCTAGCTATCAGCACAGAGCCCGACACGGGGCTCGAACCCACAAACCGGGAGATCATGGCCTGAGCCGATGTCGGACGCTTAACCGACTGAGCCACCCAGGTGCCTTTTAAGATGAGAAATGTTAAGGTTCTCCTCTTTTTCTCTTCAATGCAGATCTAAACTCCAGAATATCCTCAGCACAGAAGAAGAACGAAGTGCTCTCTTACCCGATGAAATCTAACCTTAAGAATCCAGGATGGATACCCATGGGGAGACCGATGCTCCTGGCCTTGAACATCAAAGTTGAAAGGGCTTTCTTACTATCACACATCACACTCTACAGACCCTACACCAGCATCCTGAAAGTTGCAACATACTTTTGGATAATCCTGTGTTGGGCTTTCCTGAAAAGCTGGCCATATGTGAAACATTAAGTATGAGAAGAGCAGCTGAGAATCAGCAAAAGTGTGTTTTTAGGTGATCAAATTTGTCCTTGAAGACATTACTGACTCCAGGTCTCCTGTTTCCTCTGTTTACTTTTTATTCTAAATGCACTAATTCTGTGAATGTACCTTTTCTTTATTAACAGGGAAATAAATGAATTAATTTGATATGCCTGAAAGTAATATAAAGATTACTCAAAATGTATAGAATAGAATAGTTACTGTGAAATCAATTTTTTAAAAGACATGCTTTCTCTGGGGATAAAATTTTTGTTCTTTCCAAAAGGCAGAATTCCTGCCAACCATGCAAAAGTTGTATTCCCAGGCCCTAGCTCTTCTAGAAGTTTTATTTGTGTGAAAGTTACAAGAATACTGTACTTTAGATTTTCACTTTTGTAATGTACTTTGAATTATGATCTGGATTTATAAACAATACTTAGTATAACATTACTCATTTCCCTGAATGTCCCTATTTCAGTTCTACCACCTGTTTGTTTGTTTTTTTAAACCTACTTCTGGTAGATGTGTCCCATTCCTAAAGCAAGTAAGCCCAGAGGATTGCTTATTATATTTTAGGGAAGGGGTTTGTCTGACTTCATGTAAAATTCGTGCTGTTACTTTAACTGGATGAATCCCTACTGTGTAATTTTCATACCTCCTGATGTGTTTCCATGGTGTAGTAGCCATGTTTACCCCCCCCTTTTTTTAACAGAAGAAATATATTAACTCAAATATATTTATTGAATGACTTCTCTAAACTGACAGTCTGCAATGTGCTAGGACTTTAACCTAGTGTTTAACTGTGATCAAAATAAACACAGTCTCTGCTTTTTGGAACTTCTATTCCAGTGGAATGGACAAACTATAAATAAATACTGGAATCTTCCATTATCTTACAAAGTTGCTATTAAGGGGAAAACATGGTGATAGGAAAGAGAAAGTGGCAGGAGTAATTAGGTGTGGGGTCCTAATTTAGATACAGCCACTCCTTGAAGGCCAGAGAGGTTTGAACTGAGACCTGAAGGCTGAGAGTGAGGCAGTCATCCCGAGGGAGAGCCTTCCCTTAGGCCGCGCAAAAGGGCTTGACATGGTCAAGAAGACACTGGCCCACGTGGCTGAAATCTAGTAAACAGAGGAGGTTGGGGAGGTGGGAAGGAGCCAGCTTCTCAACAGGGGATGCCAGAATTGATTCATGTTTCAGGAGGGTCCTTGTCTCTAGGTGTGCATGTGAGCAGGGATACAGATTAGCAGGGATGGAGGGAGATCTATGGGAGCTTCCAGAGACAGACATTAGTAGTTTGGACCACGGGGGTGGAGGGTAAAAGATGTGTTTGGGAGTTGAGACAACAGGCCCTGCTCATGTAGAGGGAGAGGAGAGAGGAATTTAGGGCTGACTCAAGGTTTTGGCTTGAGAATGTGGGTGGATGATGGGGAAAAGTGAGATGGGGAAGAACAGGAGCAAATAAGATCCTGAAGGGGAAAAACAACCCATGATGGGATGCTCTTTACCACCACCAGAGCGAAGAAAATTAAAAGGATGATGGAGATGGAGGTGACAGAGAGCAATCACGTTTTGGAGAACTGGCTTTAATTGCCAAAGTTGAACCTTCACAAATCCCATGAACTCTTCATTGCCCTCCTCCCGCGAAGTCCCTGCGTTGTGAGCACCCCAGAGGGTGATCCAGTGCATGCCAGAAGGAGTGGCCTGTTACCCTGCACCCCACTTCCCAGAGTGGAACCAGGATGGAGTGTGCCCCTGACCCACTGCACTCGAGTTTCTGCCCAGGGGCCGAGTTAGCCGGTGGACACCTGCAGTTCCCTACGCTGCCGCACGGGGCCGCTATTAAACCACAGTGGCGGTCGATCCTGCGGCTCCCAGCTGGGGCGTGGCGACCGGGCTCGCGGGGCTCGCCGGCCACGGAGCAGAGCTCTGGACCATCAGCGCTTTGACTGTTGGAGTTCAAGGTCAACGCAAAAATTCCAAACACGTGCTTTCAATACACTCCGCCGTCTACCTGTGTATTTACAGACACTTTATACAAAACCAACTTTGCCACTTCCTCATTTTATGATCTTGCAGGTACTAGAATAGATGACAAAAAAGTTAAATATAGGGGCGCCTGGATGGCTCAGTCAGTTGGGCGGCTGACTTTGGCTCCAGTCATGATCTCACGGTTCGTGGGTTCGAGTTCCGCGTTGGGCTCTGTGCTGACAGCTCAGAGCCTGGAGCCTGCTTCGGATTCTGTGTGTCTCTCTCTCTCTCTGACCCTCCCCTGTTCTCTCTCTCTCTCTCTCTCTCTCTGAAATAAATAAAACATTAAAAAAAGAGTCTTTAAAAAAAAGTTAAATATAGGAGAACAGAGAGGAACTTTGATCAAAAGGTAGGTCAGAACTATCAGGGAAATCACTGTATGTGTGTTTATATTTTTATATATCTGTATTCCTCTAAATCTAAGAAAGGTGCCCAGCTTGAAAGAAGCCTTTTTTTTTAATGAGACTGAATGTAGAATAATAAATAAATATAAATATAAAATTTTTATATATTTTTAATAATATATAATATAAATAATAAAATATACAATAAATATTTTTAAATGAGACGGAATGTAGAATAATGAATATATATAATTTTTTATTTTTTTATAATATAAATAATAAAATACATTATCCAAAAGGAAAATAAAATTTAAAAGGCAAAAAAAAATTCACAAATCATTTCTCTGAAACTTTTTTCCCCTTGATAATTGCTGGCTCACCTGCAGTTGAAATAATACAGAAACCATATTTACTCTATACCCAGGCTCCCCAAGTGGTAACATCTTGCAGTAGGACAGCATAATGTTAAAACCAAGATAGAGTCCAGATACAGAACAGCCCCCTCCTTTATGTAGTCCTTTCACAGGCATGCCCGCTTCCCTTTCAACCTCACTCCCTCCTTAATCCCAGGCAAGCACTAATATGGCCCCCAGTTCTATAATCTTATCATTTCAAGAACGTTGTGTAAATGGAATCTTATAGTATGTCACTTTTGGGAATTGTTTTTTCTCATTCAGCCAAATGCTCTTTAGATCATGTACATATCAGTAGTTAATTTCTGTATATTAATGAGTAGCAATCCATGGTAGGAAATATACAGTATGTTTATTCATCCACTTAAGGACATCTGGATTATTTCCATTTTATGGTTATAAGCACAAAGTTGCTATGAACATTCATGTACAGGGTTCTTTTTTGTGAACAGAAATCTTTACTTCTCTGGGATAAATGCCCAGGTACACAACTGCTAGATTGCATGACCCTTAATTTTTGCCCCAAATAACCCATTTATTTTACATAGGAAATTTTATTTACACAATAAATGTTAAATATAATATCTTAATGTAATATCCTCTTTACTTGTTTATTAATTTATTGAGATTTAATATGTTAAATATACCCTCTCAAATCTAGGTGGCGAAAGAGGTGAATAATAATATACTACATAGCTAACTAATTTTCATTAAATACAGTTAATAATTGAAAAATAAAGAAGCAGGTATCTCTATTTATATACAATCATATCAAAAGGGAATGATCCAAAAAAACTACTATGACAAGAACCTTTCTTTTGGTATCACTGTCACATGTCCTCAGTTTATGAGAGAAACCCACAGCAGAGTAAGGCTCAGAAACAACATAGTTAGACTGAAAAAAAATTTTTTCCAAGGTATGAAAAGAAACTAAAGTCTGCTTATTTAGTCTTCATTAGGAAAACTTGCAACTTTTTAATATTTGCACTAGTTTCTTTCAGAAAATTCACAGCTTCACTTCTAATCCCAGCTTATTTATGGTTGGAGTTATAGGGAATGATCTAGGAAAGCAAGGTAATAACTTGTGATTTATAGTTTAGTGTAATTTCATCATCAGTAGTAAAAGAACTCAAAGTGTATTTCTTGTTGACATTGGTTCAACAATAGCGTGACAAATACAGAAAAAAAATCGTTTTTAAGCTTTTGTCATTCAAGATAAATTTAAATACCAAACTAGTTGCCACGTTATTATATATTTCAAAAGTGACAGATATAAGATCAGTTGTTGGATGAATTCAGATAGAGCTTTCTTTTTTCTTTTAAGAGAATTAAAACCAGTGTAGATAAATATTTCACGTAAACATAATACTAATACCTTTCCTTTGTACACTTGCAGAACTTTGAGCTATATTCATTTTCTCTATTGTTTTCTGTTCTATCATTATTACTGTTTGGCTTTTGCCTCTTCTATTTGTGTGATAAAAATCAGAGTCACTCGGTTGTTGCTGAGTCCATTCGTAAGAGATCCAGTCTCTGGATCCAGAATATGGTGGTGAGGGAACATGCATGTCTGTTAGGAAGCAACCTGGTCATCTCATGGTAAGGTAGCTGCCACATTGGATTACATGCATGCCACTGCACATTTTTTAAAGAAAACATATTCTTATGGTAAAGCAGCATTATGAATTGGAAAAAAAAAACTGCTTGGAACAGTAAAATCTGCCAACAACTTCATTCCTGTAGCTAGTGAATTTATCTTCACACAGCTTTCAAGGTTATGGTTAGTTGATTCAGAAGAACAAAAACTCCCAAACAGATATTGCACATTAATTGATCACCCATGTAGATGAATTCCATGCAGCAGACCTATGATATAAGATTGGGATTCTGGATGTTCAAAGCAGACAAGAACAAAACTGCAGCTTTTCTTCTCTGTCTTAGCACATAGTCACTTTAGTTACTGGTGTGGCCCATAAGAAACTGAAGAAACATCTCCTATAGAGTTTTTAAGTTGGAGTCTCTAAATTCTCCACACTGTCCTGTCTTCTTTTCCAGAGCAGGGAAACAAGAGGAGGGAGGAGGCACAGTGACCCTGCCCCACCTCCCTGACTTAACTGTCACCCCAGAGGGGCCAGGCAGTGGATAGTTTTTTAAGAAACTGCCAAGCTGTTTTCTAGAGTGGCTGGGCCATTTTCCATCCCTCACAGTAACGCATGAGTAATCCAGTTTGTTGGTAAGCTTTTTTTTTTTTTGTCTGTGTGTGAGGGTTAAACAAATAAATTGATGCAAGAAATAAGGATAGAGGGTCATTGATCAGAGGGAGAATCTATGGTAGTGTGAGAAGGAAAGCCATCAAGATTATCTAGTACAAGTGGACTTGAGTAATTCCAGGAGAAACCATTCTGATCAAGTTGACATAGAAGAGATGGAACAAGAAGGACTTTATGGAAAGAGGCAGAACAACAAGAAAATAGAAAATGTGGATTAATGTTCTTTTAATTAGTTAGTAGTCAGGAACAGGTGGCCCACTGACCAGCAGGAGTTAAGGATTAGGTCAAAGATGCACTGGGCCTTGGCCTCATAATGAAGCCTCTGTCTTGTAGACATGAGGCAGTAATAATAACAGCAAAAATCACTGAGTCCATCACTATTTAGCAGATGAAGAAAACTGTGGCACATACCTTCCTCACAGTCACACAGCTAGAAAGTGATTCAAACCCAGGCCTCTGGCTTCCTTAACCATTACTCAATACCATCATGACTCATCAGGGAAAAAACCTTCATGTCACCTAAGTTAACAGTATTTAGATACGGGACCATACAGAATGTAGTTATCTCCACCCCGAGGAAAGTTCTAGAGTAGATCTGTGTTACAATAGAAGAATAATGTGCCAAAAAGAAAGAATATGACGTGAATTTAAGAGTCAATGTAGACCCAGAGATAGAAAATTCCCAGTGTCTATCTGGGAAGTCCCTCTGTTACTTCTCCTGGCCATTTGGCCTTCGTTCAGTAGAAGTCATGCAATCCCATGGTGCCAGTGTAAACCTGGCTTGAAAGAAAACCCCAGAATCAGAGTTGCCAGGCTAGGATAAAA